TTACTTATTACTGATAACGTAAAGAGATTTCGAGGTTTGTGTAAATATGTTCGTTACAATTCAAAATCTGCGCGATTATACCGCTTGCGGAATGAGCCAGAAAGCATCGTATTACATTTCAAACGTGTTGTATTTCATCACGTTGTATTTTGATTTTTCTGGATTGATTTAAATCCGAGAATATTATTTATTAAGTAATTGCACAAATATTACCGAACAATTATACGAGAGTGAAGATTGTCAATTGTTTAATGAAAACTGGAGTAATTACTATCGAAGTGATTCATACAGAAATGATGTTTGAACAGAACGTCCTGGGACGAATTTCTACTTCTCTGAGCGTCCTTCGCAATTCGTCTTCCACGGTGGCAGGCATTGTCGCGTGGCACTGCCGGAATTTTCCTAAAAAAGACGAGAGTCGCCGCCAAGCTTTTCTTTTCTTCGGGTTTCCGAAGGACGCGGTAGAAGCCACGGAACCGGAAACTCCGGGTTGGGCGAGGGTGGTTTACGGGGACACACAATGGAACGTAAGGACCACGTCGGCCGAGTTTTACGGTAGCTGAAAAGAAACTCTTGTCTCTCTCTCTCATTTTTTAACAGGCTCCCTGTTTTCCCTTCCGTGACACTTTTTCCCCCCGTTGAATTAACTCGGTTCTAGTTATCGGATTAAAAGGACAGGCCCGCGCGGCGAATTTTTCCCGTCGACGGGTGACGGCACGCGAAATTTCCCCAACTGGCTGCGGAAAAGTTAGAACGATCGCCGGCTGCTTAATTCGTTACCCCGGCAACCGGTTAATGCAGTTAGTTCACTCGGTAAATTGTTTGGGATGCGCCAACAGAACAAAAAGCATTCGCGAACTTTCGCGAGCTTTCGCATTTACCTTAGCAACTCTTCGGGTTTTCCTTAATCACCTCCAATCCAACGGCGTCGTGAACGACTCTGCGCGTCGAGTTTTCTGTTTCAGCGTATCGCGTTGCGCGCTATCAGATTACATGAAATGTTCCGAACGTAGCAAACATATTTCATCTACGGATTCCCTGATCCCCTCGTTAACGTTTCGCGTCTAGGGCGAAAGACTCGGCATCGATCTGGCCGAGTGTCGGTGAAGGGGGAGAATTAACTTCGGGGAAACAATTGTTCGCGCCAGGGAAAGCTCAAACTTTAATTAACTAAATGATACATAAATCTCGCGCAGTAGATCTCCGTAGAGGTACTCTGGAAAAAAACAGACAGCAACCCATTTGGAGCCCACAATTAGTAATCGAATTATCTGGATTGTTCGTAACTCTAATCTTTTACGAATTTTACCCCGCGTAACTAAAAATCGCGATTAGCTATTCCATCTATATCCAAGATTTTTAAGTAATACTAATCAATTCTCTCAATTAGTTCTGTCGATATTCAGTAACGCAAAGATGTTAAGTTGCTTAGCTACAAAAAAGACGGTCAAAATTTTTCCCAGAGTTACGAACAATCGAAATAATTCGATTACTAATTGTGAGCCCCAAAGTGGGTTGCTGTCTTTTTTTCCCTCCCCCAGAGTACTTGGTACAGAGATAGCCCGATAGCCCTGACCCAGCGATACATTTGTTTCTCGATATCGACGGGAGATGAATGCGGGTCATGCCGACGTGCAGGAGCCAGCAGCGGTATGATATCAAAAACGCTCTCTGCGGTGGCCGCGAGCCAAGTATAGATTGCTAACTGTCGCTGGACAATGATATACACCACGCTGAAAGGATTTCAAAGGAGCGCACTGTCGACCGTGTATCGTGCACAGTGTTACGCCGTCGTATCGTCGTGGACCCGGCTTCCTGAAGAAATATCGTTACTGCGCCATTTGTCTCCCGAGAGTAAGCCGGATATCGCGTCGGAGATACTTCTCAATTCGCTTAATGTGCTTCTGAAAATTACCGGGTGCGCGTTCCGGCGTGTGCGCTGCGAAATTTCAGTGTTGCGGGAACGCTCCGGGAATTAAAATTCATATTTCATCGCACGGAGTACTGGATTTCGCGCGCATTTGCGTTTTGAAATAATGGCAGTTTATTCAGCGAGAGTTCAACGTCATTTGTACATACTTATGCGTTTGACAGGCGCGCTAAATTAGCTTCAACGTATACCCGTTACCTTTTGTTATGCACCCACTTTCCACGAGCAACTTCAAGCCGGTTTTTTTTTATATATTATCTTCCGTGACGAGATAAAACGTTGTATTCGACGTAAAATTTGTTTAATTTAACATCATCTCAACGACCGTATCAACGATGCGAGAACCGCTGAAACCGCCCTTTCATTTTTCGCAACGGTCTATCGCAACGTGAAATTATTTAAGGAGAATGTCGGGCGCTTCCGCAATTGCGGATTATTTGTTTTTTATACACAAACGGCTAGCTGGGACTGCGCTATATTTAGACGGTATCGCGTTTGTTGTCGAAGCGCGCAAGGAGGCTAATCAATAATTCATCGTGGCATAGGGCACCTTCGGTCCATCCACCCCAAGGCGCTGAAACCGCGTCTCTCCAATTCTGCGTTACGTCATAGTAATTACTACCACAATTTCAGCCCAACGCGGCACTTAGACTAATTAAGAGTCGAGCTTCTGTCACGTTGTTTCGCCGTCTTTGCGCGCGACGGAAGATGGTTAGTTAAAAGCTTCTTTTATATTTTCCTTGGCGTAAATCGTAGAACAGAAGACCGACGTAAAATGTAGCCCAGGGGATATTGTACATCGCGTACGGCTCCCGTATAAACGGGTGCTTGTAGCAGCTATCTTAATTAAGTCTTGGCTGATTTTGCTATTCTTCCGTCAATCATTTTGTCGTAACGCAAATAAGAAATTGATTGCAGAAGGGATGGTTTTTCTTTTAGAGAAGAATATCTTATTTAGGAAAATTCAGTCAGTGCCTTTTTAGCGATGCGTTTATATTCGATTTGAAAAAACTGCAGGTTTAGAACAGATCCGAGATACGCGATATGCGAAAATGGAAATCAATAGCTTTTATCCAACCTACAAATTGTGACTGAAAATTTATTCCAAATTGACTAAACAAAGCCTTTCTTTGGCAAACTCGGCCTGTTTATTCGGATATAATATTATTATATTGATAAAGGGAAATGAAAATTTAATTAAATACGATAATTACCCGAAACTAGAAATTCAGCCTGCAATCGTTAAACAGGCCGGCCTTCGAGCTGACACTATTGGTTCCAGTGTCATTTTCGGTGCAGCATCCATTCTCCTCAACACGAAACGCTCGCAGGAAAAGTATCCCGGCTGGGACATGCCGGCCCCCATGAATTAAACATCGCGCGCGTTGGGCTCCGGTGCAAACGAGATTCGCAAATTCATTTCTGTTCACTCGGCACGCGGCCGCGCTCGAAAGAGAGGAGAACGCGCCATAATTCCGAGAGTTTATGAATTTCAGGCTTTCCAGCCCCGGAATCGCGATCTAATAACGCTAACTATTTTACGCGCTCGATGATATGACAGTCGGCAAATCGGATTAGTCGCACCGAAAACGACAAACGCCACACGTAGTCGGCTGTTCCACCAAACATTGGCGTCGCTCTCGTAATCACGGATTTAAATTTACGCAGCTTGTCGCGATTAACCGGCATAGAAATCGTACTGGTAAAGAATTTAGTGTGAAAATTGTATTTCTGCGTTAAGCTATTGTTATCCACGCTAAGTGAAGGCATTGTTATCCGAGCTAAAATGAAGCTATTGTTATACAAGCTATACGTTACCTCGCGATTAAATGTAAAACACGCGAGATTATCGCATTTGTTTTGTTATTGCCAAAATTCACAGGTGGAATTAAATTAACCCTGCGTTAAATACCATGTTTGTTTTAGAAAAACGTCATATTCTTGCGGATACATATAGCTCTAAAATACTATAGGTTCAAACCCTGGCTGAGGTGATATTTTCTCGCAAGAAATTTTGAATATAATATTTAGACACTAACACCCTGTCACGGCTCTTAGTCCTTTATTCCTTCAAATTTGTGTTTATCACATTTGAGCCGTACGAATTTTATTAATTTCTTTTATTATTTAATTTTTTATTTAACTCTGCCTCAAATACACGTTCAAAGAGTATTTAGCCAAAAAGTGATCCGCATGGATGTGATACAGATCATTTTACCGGCTACGAAATATTTCAAGAGATATTTAAGACGATTCTTAAATATAAGAACAGCTGCCGAATTCGCTATTAGATTCGAATACCATTAATTTACCTCGCTTAATACTTGCCTCGTAATAAATATGGCTCGCTTGAAATTGCAGTCTTTCGCAGCTTATCACTTATTCTCGGATTGTTGGATAGCTAGTCTTCGGCTTCATAGTCGGAGAAAGCGAGCATCCGAGTATAAAATTAATTGCAGCTCGATGCAACGATCTCAGGACCTTAATTTTCGCGGGAGAAATTTTCTTTTCTCAGGTCTAAGCACAGTCTTACCGCTATTAACGCAACAGGTGCGCGATCGGGCTTTTCGATGTGTTCGATAAGAAAGAATCGGCCGTGTTACTCGAGCATTGAATCGTGACGATACGATAAATTATTTTTTTTCAACAAGAAAAACTTTCAGTGAACATGGAATAATTTATATGTTTAATTGCGAATAAATAGGCCACTAATTGCAGGCTGAAATTGACAGGAGATAAATGCATTCTAGTACAAATGTATACCTGCAATGTAATCGACAACCTTTAAATGACTTATTTTTCATTTTAAATAATTTATAATTGCAATTAAATTTAAAACATTTCTTTCTCCCTAACTACATTACATTATTCGATATAATATTTTTGCCTCGCGGATAAACAATGGATTTTATTTTTCCCTCTTCTTTCCACCAATCAAGTAAATCGATATGTTCCCCGATGTAATGGTGCTTTATGGATTTTCTTATCTCAGCGGCAACGACTGAGAAAAGGAAGAAGAAAATTTTTACTGCAGATTGAAACTCAAGATCGATATTTCCCCTCTTTTCAGGACCTCGAGCATACGGACGTGCTGACGGTGGGTTTCAATGTGGACGGCGTCGAGCGCGTTCTCGACCTTCGGCTGAACACCGATTTAATTCCGGTCGGCTATCAGCAACTCCACCAGCATCGCGGCACGTACAAAGTGCACACCCCGTCGAAAGTTGTAAGTACCGCTCGGGCATCCAGTATTCGCATCCCCAGCGTGCTAACCGCTTTTCCGCAAACAACGTTTGCGCTAATCGATATCGAACGCGCGAGCGTAATTCTATCAGATACCAGCGCCGATCAAGGAAAGCGTCGAGGATTCATTCAACTTGGCTCCCGTGCTCGGCCATTCACTCGCGACTCGTCACGTGTCGAATGGCACACAAAGAGCGACTATTATCGCCGTTTAATGGTGACATATGTGATACGCGATGTAAAATTTACGACATGCAGCTGTTTGGTCCCCGCCAAAAAAGGGGGGATAATCGATACAATTTTTTTTCAACGATTATTTCGGACAACGAAGAATAGTTTTCTGATTAGGTATTATTTTATTACGTACATGGAAAAACATGCTGTTGAATTAAGCAAAATGAAGTTGCTTCAATTAAACGTTAACGTCACGGGGCTGCCACAAACAGAAATAATTCACTCGATTGCATTTGCTATGGATTTTAATTTTAAGCATTGAACTAAATGTCAAGATTATTAAGACAACAATCTGATGTTTTTCATTTATTAATACCAGGGTTGGGTAAGTTATTTTTTAACTAAGTTAAGTTAAAGTTAACAGCCTTGAAAATTTAAGTTACAAGAAAAGTTAAGATACAAGTAAATACAATTAATTTAATTTAAAGTTAAGTTAATAATAAAAAATTAAAAAGTTAAAAGTCAAATCTTTTATTTTTACATAAAATCTCAGAGACTTACGATCATGTAAATTTCATTGAATTTCGCGATTAGCGTTTGGACAATCACTCACACTGCACGGAATATGGCAACCATTTCATATGCAAGCAATTTCACGTGAGTTCGAGAATCAAGACCCCATATAATTGCTGTGTTCCAAAATGCATTACCAGCGCTGAAGATTTATATGGTACGCATACACAGTAGACTTTAGAGCTGGCAGTGAATTTTAAAACACAGAGACTGCCAATGTAGACAGACACACGGGGTCTCGTGACGTCTTTTAAAATGATTTAACCTTTAAACTTAACTTTTATCTTTTTAACTAGACACTACTCAACCCTGATTAATACTGATGTTGTTTCAACGATTTTATTTCAATTACACTGATCTTGTTGATACAACGTCATTCTTTTTCCGTATCTCTGTTTTCCTTTGAAAGTCCTACCACCTGGTGACGAATGTGCCGAGCTAAGCGATTATGCGTACACCGGCTGTACAAAAATAATCTCGCTACGCATATCACTGGAAAGGGGTGCAAGACTTGTTTATTTGTCAGCATTCTCGTTTGCTCTTTGCGTTTGATTCTCGCCACTTTTCGGGTTGTCCTCCACGAATCGATTCTGCCACGGCGATTCTGCAAGTTGACTCGGCTGTAGAACCATCGATTTTATGACACGTTCACGTAAGGAAGGTCGTCCCCGCACTATTTAACTTTAATCCGACTCTAAGTGATCACGTTACATTAATATTTACCAACTCGCTGCCATATTCCACGTTACCACCAGCAACCCCTCGCAACGGAATTCACCAACATTGGAAAACTCTTGAGACGATGTTTTATTCAGTCGGGTCAACAAAGAGATGCCGGGCAAAGGAGAGAGGTAGCGCATTGTGATAAAAGATAATCTCCGTTTCGAATGAGGAATCGCTCTTTCGGACAACCTGACAATCTATCTGCGAGAGAGTTCATTTTATTCCACGCTCGACCCGTACTTCCGGTCCCACGAAAATTAAAAATCTCCGCGGGCGTCCGCGCCCTCTCGTCGTATCTGCCTGCCGTCATCGCGCGGGCGGAAAAGGTAGGTAGACCCCCGTGCGTGCAGGTATAATACTCGACCGAAATCGATCGAGGTGACTCACTCCGTCTGCCGTCTACATGTCTGATACAACCGTCTTGTTATAAACACACGCAAATGTGTAGCGGCGTGTTGGTCCCGGGCGAACGGCGGGCGTACAACCCCGTCACGTTAAAACCGCGCGCACGGTCGCGGAGTTTCCGCTTTATAATTCAAACGCCGCGACGGAAGAGAAAGGCAGGAAGGACGAGAGGAAAAAAGAAAAGAGGAAGCAAAGAGCCGATGGGACACCCAGAATACGTTGAATTACACGCCGGTCGCGGAGTGTATCGCGCAAGGAGTGTTTCTGCTGAACGTCTAATTCCGCTAGCGCTTCTTCAGACAGTCGATTTTACTTGGCTACCTGTGAAACAGATGGCAAAGACGATTACGAAGGAGGAAAAATAGAAAAAGCTGAGTACGTTAAATGTTTTTATTACGTTATTCGACGTGTGCCGATGGAGAAACCGGTTATATTAAATTTCGCTCGCGCTAAATTAGCGGCAATTAAATTTCTCCGTAATTTATGGAAATTGCGAAAGTATTTCTGAGATGCTCCTCTAATTACGAGGCTTCCAAAATCCTGCCGACTACCTCGTCTCGGCAGCGAGTTTCATGTGAACGCGGTGACAAAAATTGTTATTTACTTTGCAACACGAAGCTGTAACTGTCTGTGAGCACGATCATTGATTTAATTACTGTTTCCTTTTCATTTTAATTGGAGCAGAATCGACATTGAGTTATAAGTAAATTTAAGTTTGCAAATTTAAATTCTATCGCGCGAAAAATAATTGATTCGTCTCGAGATAAAAGTTTCCGTATACATTTTGAGCAGGATAAAAAGAGAGAGCGAAAAATAAAAATTATTATTTAAAATAAAGGACAAAATAAACTAAAATTAAAATTAAAATTGTATTCATAGAAAAATAATACGATTATTATTTTTAACATGATATATTTTTACATCATAAAAATATATTTAAAAAATAACGAATATAAAGTAGCGGCAAGGGAAAAATGAGTCATATATTACTGTATTTATAAATAATAAAGATTGACTGCCGCTCATTGATCGCGATGATATTCTGCTCGACTGCGTGTAATGGGACAATGATGAGCGCAAAAAAGTCATCCGGAATGTGGGACGAAAATCAAGCTGAAAGTGTAAAACTCGCCGCCAACTGTAGAGTTCGTTGCGCCTAGCCGCAACACCGCACTTACTGTTTTGCACAATTGTATTTAATTAATTGGTGGCTCCGGTTAACGGCTCTGCCTTCCGTCGCCCCGCCTCCCGTTCTTCGCGGCATAAATACGGTTTATCCGCGCGGATGAACCAATTTTGAGCTCGTTAAAGGAGAAAATGCGGACGTGGAGTGAGCTAGAAATTTGAGACGTCGGTATAACGTTTGACTGTTCGAAACGTATGAAAATTTTTTTTTAAATAAATTAATAAAATTCGTATGGCTCAAATGTGATAAACACAAATATGAAGGAACAAACAGCCGTGATAAGGTGTTAGTGTCTAAAGATTTTAATCTAAATTTTTTTAATATACAAAATGTATACACAAAAATAACATTTTTAAAGATGTGAAAATCTGTGAAACTCGGTACGCACTGTATATTTGTAGCGAGCGCCATTAGTGCGTACTAAAATTCAAATCATGAACGTTGTGCAGAATAGATATATAAGATTGAGCACATTTTGTAGATCGAGAGGGCAATAGGTATTTCATATTCTTATCTTCGACGAAACTCGATACGACAATGATTTTACGGACAGAAAAGCGATCAGGATGGCAGAGAGGGTTCGTTATTACGGGGCTATACAGAGGGTCCTTTTGTGCTTTCAACGCGGTTCTGAAATTTACGTCCCGGTAATAAGAACGCGACTGTTACGAAATGTATTTTTCTTTCGCACGGCTCTCGTGATATAAATCTACATAATCCCCGATGCGGGGCGCACACGCGATATTACATTTAATAGAAGCGAGGATAAGCTCACCGTGGGCGAATACAAAATTTCATATTCCGCCGACACGCCTCGTAACGCGCTTTCCATGGGGCACGTTACGCTCTCGCGAAATTTTTCTCTTATCCGACAATGAATCAAGTCGCACGCTTTACCCGCCCGTTATATATCAGCGGGCCCCAGTCATTATATCCCTGGACGCATTTATTATAGACGAACGATGATGGGTTTCTTGCGTGAATTAACCGCGTATGTGCGCACGAAGCTGTTACTTGCGACTCTTGCGTGCGACGCGTGCAAAAATTTTGTACCGTGACATGCAAACACAATGCCAGACCTCGAAATTCCCGAAGGCTGTGAACAATTATTTATGAATTCCGTACGATACAGACGTTCTATTTTCTTTAAACATTATCAACCGTCGTGCTTCGGAATATTCAGATAACGCGATAACGCGAATCCTTGGATATGAATTCCAGCGTCACGCGTGCTGGAATCCTTGAATTTCTACATTCGATATTCAAGCATGAGTACGCACATATCCTTGTAATCGATTTTGTTTTCTAATCTGATATCGTTCAAC